ACGGCTCATAAACATGCCACGTCCCCACACACTCCTTGAAGTAAAGGCAGAAAATGCCCAAGGCACACACCCATGGACGGCGCCGTCACCAATTCATTTTGGGAACAATAAAACAGTAGAGCCATTGGCATCAGTGGTGCTGTTTCCCGCGCCAAATTCCCCCATTGGCGGGCACTGGCACCGCTTCCCCCGCAGCCGCGTCAACGCCCAGATCCTGTGGCAGTTTGGCCGCAAAATTCCCTGGGCACGGTGTCGCTTTTCCCTCCTTGCAATCTGCTTCAGTCTGCTTGCCACGCAAAAGGGGCATCTGTAGTTCCTGCCTGGTCAGTGGAAGGTTGCAAAGACAGGCATGCGTCAGCGTCACCTGACTGCAGCCTGAGCCACTGCGACCGTCACCTCCAACGTAGAAGCATGAGACGTCGAGCAACTGCGCCCCACGTGTAACTGTCGTTGCTGAGCTCCCCAAAGTTTTGCCATCCACGCACACGGTGCCCATGCCGTTCTGGAGCACGACTGCCACCCGGTACGTTCTCTCCAGCTCCCACTTCCCGTGCTGCACTTCTCCCGCCTCACCGTCAAACGCCACCTCCCGCCCATTGTCCGCCGTGACTGACAGTCCCACCATCCTCACGCCCCCAGCGCCACCCACAGCAACCATAAGGGCGCTGCCGCTGCCCGCAGGAGCCGCCCCAATCGTCGCCGTCGCCACAAGAGTGAAGTCCTTGTTCACAATGTGGAAGCGTTGATTCCGCCACCGATTACCCACAGGCCACTCTGCCCACACTCCAGGCCCCTCAAACGTCGCACCGCCCTCAACCTTCGTTGCTGTCCCAATCACCGTGGCACTCGCCGCGAGATATTCGTTCACCCAGCAATCCCTCTCACCCTCGTTGGACAAATATCCGACCAGCCCATCCGTGGGCATAGGAGTGCTGCAGGCACCGTCGGATGCGGTTCCCTCTTTGCTGGTGGAACTGCAAGGCGTTGTGACTTTCTTGTCGACTGCATCCCAATTCTTCAGCGCAGTCTTTATTTCCTCCAGCTGCTCAGTGAGGTGTGCGAGCACAAAACGCCCTTGTCCTGCATTCCACTCGTACAGGGAAAACAGTTCACCACCCTTGTACAGCAGAGTATCTGTGTTTTTAGAAAAACCATCAGCACATAACGGTCCAATGGGGTAAAATCGATTCATATCAGTCATATAAAAAAGCAACACACTCGTCGCTCTCCAAATATTATTCTACCTGGGCAAAGCAAACAGCATTACACTCCTCCCCTCGATGGATGCCGTCACGATGTCGAGTCGACCGCCAGTCGTAGCACCCTTCAAGGCCTCAGTCAAGACATTCAAATGAGCTCCGCCGAATTACATCCATGCCTCCCCCATGTCACCGGTCTCATGCACTTTCCCGTGATGGCCTCCATGCGTCGCGACCGCGAGGAGTTTTCCCTCCCACCCAAAGAGATTGGGATCAGCGCAATCCCGTAAACAACACCCTCCGCAGGGAACCCCCAATTCCAGCCACAGCCCTTCGAATGGATGATGGTGCAGACTTTTGTGTTGTCCCCCTTCACATCCACAGGGGAAACACAACCGCGGTGCCATTCGCCACCACGCCCCTGCCGCTAATACCCCAGAACCCATTCCATGGCCTCGCTCGCAGCTGACCGTCAACAACAGCCTTGGAAAGGCTCCCAGCACTCCACGTGATGCGGCTTCCCCCATCGTTGGACACCAACAGCGTCACCCAAAACAGGCACAGGCTCCCACATGTGTGGAGTTTCCAACATCGCACTGGCATTTTTCGCAGGAAGGCGTTCCACAGGCAAAAAAACCTTGCCGTCTTTAGTCAACGCCTTGCGACCGTTCAATTGAGACAAGTGACCCGCCTCTTCTCTTCGTTCCACGGCAATGACCGTACTCCAGTCCGTCACGCTCTCCGCTGCGATTCCTTTCGTCCACTCCTCCCGTGTGAAACTCACGTACTTTGACCAAATGCCAACACTGGCACTAGAAGCAACTCCCTAATTGATCTTGGCAAGAAAGAAAATTAAGCCATAGTAGTTCAACAAGAGAATGACCAATAAACGACTTAACACCATTATCTCCATAGCTTTTGCCCCTTCAATGCGCCACAATAAACCCTCGTTTCCCATGGTACAAAAATAACCATAGGCTTTGGATCACCCTCCTTCTTTGCACGCGCAACTCCACCAGTGCCGCAGCACATCAACACGACGAGGAGGAGCAGCACCGCGGAATTAAACACACGCCGGGACATGTTGGGCCTCCGCTGCTCACTCTCCCTTCCTTCCCTCCTCCTTCCGCTGGACCCGGTCACGCGGCGACGGTTGTGTGTGCGGGGTGCCATGACTGCAGCAACACGTGAGAGCATATAAATATGTGTGTGTGTGGACGGTGTGTGTGCTCTGTTGTTGGTCCTTTCAGTGCCTTCGAATTTCACAGTAGCGTTTAGCGCTTGTCTGTTTTCCCTGTGTGGGTGAGAAATAAATAGAGGAAAAAAAAAATGCTCAATAAAAGAGGTAAAACAGTAAACACCGTCACCCACCCACAGTGAGTGGCATCATCACCCCCGCCGCATTCACTCCCAACAACAACAACTCACGCACACAAACACACTGAACAGGGGATGGATGAACAGTGCACCGGGAACACACAGCGACTGTTGCCACCAGCAGGAGTCACGGCGGGTGTCTTATTCGTCACGCGTCAGCAGACACCGAACAACACCCACACACAAAACAACCGGCAGAATGCAAAAGGGTACAACCGTCCTTTGCAGCACCAATGCGCTGCCGCCAGTCGTTTTGCAGCTGCCTCCTCCAAAGCACTCGCACATCAACCCACACAGCCGGAGAATCCCTGAACAAAGTATACACAGCGGGACACGTCGGCACGTGCAGCAGCTGGACGAGAAGCAATCCGCACTTGTCCCAGGCACCTTAACCCACACCGCCCAATCGGCTGCACGCCTGCAACGTGTCAAAAAATAAATCGCAGGCTCCCGTACTCCCTCCTCGCAAGGGACGTTGCAGCCAGAATCTTCTGCGTGCATCTGTTCTCAGCAATCACGCAGCTCTACAGAGTATGCATAATGGCATGTGTGTGTGCATGTGCGTTTGTCAGTGGATATACTTCCGGAGCAGCTGTGCGGCAGAAGAGAGTTCAAAGAAGGAAATGGAAGAAAGAGAAGCAGATAGCACACACGCAAATTACTCACATCATCACACACACACACACACGCAGCCCGCGGAATGGGTGCTCTCAACCAAAAAACAATGAAAAACAAAACAAAAAGCCGAAGCGTGGGACGACCAGCGCACACACTCTCATTGCTCCCGTAAAGCAAAACACACACACAGGGAGAGAGAGAGAGAGAGGTCGCCCACTCAATGCAATGGAAACAAAACAGAAACAGTTACGGTGCTCCGCCCATGCAGCCAGGCAGGACGGCAGCGGTGCGTGTCGTGCAAAAGAGAGCACCAACGGGCCTGCATGGGTGTGCATGCAATATATACAATGGGCACATTATGTGTGTGCCTCGTGGGATGAGGTGAGGGCGAGAGTCCATGCAAGGGGACACACACACACAGAGAGTGGGTGAAAGACGAGTGTGTGTGCGGGCGGTGCATGGCTCTCTCTCACTCACTCTCACGCGGCCACCGCAGCAGCAGCCGCACACGCAACAACAAGAAGAAGCAAAAGAGGGGAGGTGGTGTGGGAGACCGCGGTGCTGCCGGCGCTGTCTGCTGTGGTCTCTGTATTGCTTGTTTTATTGGTGGCGTTCTCTGGTACTGTTGTGTATCTCTCATCCTTATCTGCCTCAGTGTCCCTGTCTCCTGAGGCGGCTTCAAATTCTGCGGTCTTACTGTTGTGTACCACGTCACTATTTACGTCGTCTTTATTAGCTCGTTCAAGGTCACTCGCATCACCAGAGGCTTGAGTGCTTCTTGTGCCAGCGGTAGTCCTTTCAGCAGTAGGAGCTGCAGGGCTGCTGTCGTCGCCGTCATCATTTGTCTTAGCAACTATACCAGCGCTGGGTAATTCCTGTGATAACAATTCGGTGTTGCTGGCTGGCAGAGCAGCGGGGCCATTATCTCCATTGGAATCACGTTGTGTCACTGAGGCGGCAGGAGGTTTGGGATTGTTAGCACCACTTTTCTCCACCATGCTTGCGGCAATATCACTGCTCTCTGTAGAGGTAGATAATAGTGTTGTACTCTCTGGACCCAAATGCGATACGCTCTCCGGTGACTGCAAGGAGGATGCTCCCTTTTCTTGCTTTGTTGAACCTTTCGTTTGGAGCATCCCCGTTTCTTGTGCGGGACCTCCGTCTTGTGGCCTTGAATGTTTTTCGACTCGAATTGGTAGATGTGTTTCTTCTGAGTGTAATGTGTTTGTTCCTGGTGATGGTTGTCGTGGTGGTGGTTGCAGTGATTCTGCTGGAGGTGGTGGTTGTGGCGGTTGGGGACTTCTCGTGTCTTTCTCACCTTTTGGCAGGCCGCCTGTTGACTCTTGACTCCCAGTTTGTTTAGGACGATCGTCATCTGTACTCACATTCTGTTCACCTGTTATTTTTAAATCCCTGCTTGTTTCCAACGTTTTCTTCTCTTCCAGTGAATTTTTAGGTTCCTGTCCTTCGTCTGGATCTTGTCCCGCTTGCAACCTCTGGTCTGAAGAAGATAATCCCTTCAATTTGTCATTGCCGCCTTCGCCACTTTTATCATCGGAATCAACATCAGCAGCAGCAGCCACGGCAAACTGTTGGCGCCTCCAACGACGACGACCATCCACAACGGCACGCACACCGTCCATTCCCTCACGCACACATTCCTCCACGGCGGACGCATTTGCACCGCCTGTCCTTCTGCTGACCTCCTCCGCGCAACCCCTCCGCAGCTGAGAGCGCCGTCCCGCGATCGAATACTCAACCGCACTGCCATCGGCACCGCCAGCGCCGTCGGCCGCAATTCCAGAAAGACCGCACCACAGCACGCAGAGGGCACACACCAGCAGCACACGGCCAGTCATCATCATCGCTCCTGTCACTTGCGTGCAGCCTTCAGCACAAAATAACAACACGTCAACGCAGACTGAAAGCAAAAGGAGAGACAAATCACTCAGCCGCGCCACCACACAGTAACAACAAGAGCATCTCAGCAACACCATAAGGCGGATGGAATCAGTGCGATTGCAGATCGCGCACACCGCTCTGCAAACCGGAAGCTAAAAAGTAAAAAAGTAAAACGACAGAGTTGAGAGTCCGGCAGGGCTCCCAAAAAGTAGAAAATAAAAAAAATGATCAGGCACAACTTTCATTTCATGTGCCAAGCAGCACAAAACGACCATGTGTTGGAGTATACACATTTCCTGCACAAGGAAGGACAATTTAAAAAATCTCACTTTTCAATGAGCCCACAAAACACTCTTCACACTTCATGCGGCATCCGGCCTGTTCCTCCAATGCTCGTTTTGTGCAGTCCACGGCACGCACAGCAGTAAGACTGGCAACGGTGTGGGCCACAAACAACAAATAAAAGTAAGAAACACGTCGCTCATGACATGTACGGCGATTAACCATCGGAGGGAAAAAGGAAAAGAAGGGGTGCTGACTATCCCATCCGTGCACCAGCAGCAGCAGACAATAACAACGAATCATTTAAATAAAGAAAAGAAAACACGCGGAAAAAGCGGCACGTACGGTCCATTAGAAATCGCACAACCGCACTCTACGGCTCATAAACATGCCACGTCCCCACACACTCCTTGAAGTAAAGGCAGAAAATGCCCAAGGCACACACCCATGGACGGCGCCGTCACCAATTCATTTTGGGAACAATAAAACAGTAGAGCCATTGGCATCAGTGGTGCTGTTTCCCGCGCCAAATTCCCCCTTTGGCGGGCACTGGCACCGCTTCCCCCGCAGCCGCGTCAATGCCCAGATCCTGTGGCAGTTTGGCCGCAAAATTCCCTGGGCACGGTGTCGCTTTCCCTCCTGCAA